ACTGGATAAAAGTCCTGGCGGATGTGAATTAAAATTTGTGCAATTGTGCTTCTAACACATGAAAACTCTTAAAGCCCAAAGAGTCATTATAGACGGGTTGGAGTGGCCATTGTGAGCATGGGTGTGAGTGTTTATCTGGTACAAGTAAGAGCTGCCAAGCTGTGTTAAAGACCCAGCTGGGATTAGACCCCATAAATGTGCATTGGCATAAATCGGCAGAATTAAGAGATTTTCTCCAGCAGTGTCCAGCTGGCTAGATGTGTGAGACATGTTGGGTAATTAAGTTTATCCAAAGATGGGGACTCTCAGGACAGGCTGTTTTCTTTTTTTTTTTTAATTTTAATTTTTTAAAAGATTTTATGTATTAATATGAGAGAGAGCACGCATGCACAAGTAGGGAGAGAGTGGAGGAGCAGAGGGGGAGGAAGAAGCAGATTCCCCACCAAGCAGAAAGCCTGACGTGGGGCTCAGTCCCAGGACTCCAGGATCACGACCTGAGCCGAAGGCAGGTGCTTAATGGACTGAACCACCCAGGTGCCCTGAACAGGCTGTTTTCTATTGAAGTAAATAAAAGTAGCTGTGGAATTTCATTTCCATTCTCTCAATAAAGTAAATCTCTTAGAATTCAAAGTCTTTTTGACTTTTTGTTGACCTTTTTTGTTCCAAACTGCAGAATACCCCCTGGCTGGAGCATTCACCCCCAGAGTCTTCCCCCATTACCCACTTGCCATGGAAAGACTTGAGGGGGTATCTGTGAATTTCCTAAGGGGTGTTGGTGTGTGTGCACATGCATGTTTTTCTGGGAAGAGTGTCCAGAAAGGCGAGAAGCACGGACTTGGGGTTAACTCCTAGCCGTGGAGCACTATGGGGGTCAGGGCTTGATGGTGGAGGAGTCATGGTTCCGCTTGTTGACAGGAGGTGGTGGCACGGTGGTAGGCGTGCAGACCTCAGGGACTGAGGCATAGGCCGTGCCACGTAACTCCTCAGTTTTCTCCTCCATAAAATGGAAATGATAATCAAATTCCTTACCTCAGGGGATGATATAATAAGATTAAATGAGTTAATACTTGCAAATGTTAGGACGCTTCCTCACACTTAGTGAGGTCTGATTTTTATTATAGCTAATTGTTAGTGATGCATTGGGATGCACATCGTGGACAAAGACCTTGAATCAGAAAGCAGCATTTGAGGGTGCCTGGGTGGCTCAGATGGTAAAGCATCTCCCTTCGGCTCAGGTCATGATCCTGGGGACCTGGGATGAAGCCCCACGTCGGGGGGGGGTCCCTGCTCAGCGGGGAGCCTGCTTCTCCCTCTGCCTCTCTTTCTGTCTCTCATGAATAAATAAATAAAATCTTAAAAAAAAAAAAAAAAGGAAGCAGCATTTGAAGGTGCACAATTGTTGCTGATCTTGTGCAAAGCACACATCTAAGCTTTCTCTCCCCTCTGGCACTTAGGGCAACTTCCTTAACTGGCCTGTGCCTCAGGGATCTCACCTGCAGTGTGTAGATGATAATAGTAACTACCTCACTGGACTGTGGTAGGGGTTCTCGGCAGGCTCAGAGCAGTGGCTCCAATTCAGTAAATGATAGTTTTTTTTGTTTGTTTGTTTGTTTTAATTTTTAACCAGGCTCTAACGTGGGGCTTGAATTCACAACCCCGAGATTAAGGGTCATATGCTGTATGACTGAGCCAGCCAGGAGCCCTTCTGCTTGTATTACGATTATTGCTGCCTAGGTACGTTCAGTCTCCTTGTTTTGAGAGAGGCCCTTTCCAGGCGATTCCCACCGCCTTCCCTCACACCGAAACTTCACAACTCACACAGCACCTTCACACATATGCCATGTCTGCCTCCCAGCGGCAGAGAGAAAGTGACTACCCTAGGCCCCTCCACCTGCCCCTGCCTCGTCGTATTCTCTTCCAAGAGTCTCCCCCACCCCGTCTCTCCCCAGTTCCCATCTATAGCAATCCCACTCCTGAAGCACAACACTGATCACAAAGCCTTCCCAACTGAGAATCCCCCTGCAGAACCAATCCCATGAGAGACGTCCAGTCAGTCCTGCTCAGCCTGCACCTCTCACCAAGATTCCTCGCACAGCCAAGACCTTTGCCAGAAAGCTGCTGAATGAAGGAAATCAGAATGGTGATGATTCTCCCACCCCAAGATGTTCCCATCTTGAAGGGAGGGAAAGAGGAGACAACGAGAGACTGATCTGCACTGTGGACTAAGAGACTGAACACACAGGCAGTGGCCAGAGCAGATGGAAAAACAGAATTCCGACCCATGACCTGCAGAAACCTGCCCAGCAGACCAACTCTTCATCCAACAAGAAAACAGCCAGGCTATCCATAGGTCACATCTGTAAGAAGACTATCTCTACTTAAAATTCAGAAAGCGAAACGTGAACTTTCTGTAACAATTGGCTCAAAATGGCCAGAACGGACAACTTCCCCAAGTTTTGTCCACATTGCAACTTAGAGCCAAACAATGTGGAAGACAGTAAATGGCCAAATAATGCACCCCCAACCAGTCACACAGGACGCCTGGCTTCTAGGTACCTGCCTTTACAGCTTCCCCAGGCGGACAGCCTACAGAGAAGGCACATCGGAATCCTTCCCTTTTTCTGCTATAAATAAAGCTTTCCCACCCCTCTGCCTGACCTTCAGTCTCTTTGAGAACAAGTGACCATGGCTGACTGACTCCCTTGATGTAGCAAGCTCTGAATAAATAGCCTTTGCTCTTCTTATCTGGTTGGTGTTCGTCTATTTCCCCAAGACCCAGGAATGGCAGCTCAGGGAGCAAGGCTCGGACCATCCTCCGTCAGTACACGTCAGTACACTCGGTTCGCCTGGGGTGGAGCTCGAGCCCTCAGACAACAGAGCTGCTGGCTGGTCCACTGGAAACGCTGATCAGACCTTTGGACTCCACTGAGCCAGAGCTGGAGAGGCCAAATTGACTCAGATTAAATCTCCCAGGCATAAAATCACAAAAGAGTTTTTGTTAGATGCTGATTGGGAAGGAGGGGCCCCAGAGATCTGGGAAAAGGGTAGGACATCTGGGAATAGAGAAATAAGGGAGAGGCCGGAATTTTGCCTAGAACAGGAGCCAGAGATTGCCTGGGGCTGCTTTGGTGGGATGGAGAAGGGAGTCCAGATTCTTTTTTTTTTTTTTTTTTTGGGTGGGGGGGAGTCCAGATTCTTATCTAACCTCCACTGAGATCCTTTATTCAGTCCACAGACATTTATTGAGTGCCTAGGTTGTGCCAGGCCCCATTCTGCAGTGCTGGAGATGGGAGTTCACAACCTAGTAGGAGAAGACAGTAAATGGCTAAAGAAGTAAAATAACTTCAGTGTGGTAAGTGCCCTGAGGACCGTGGGATGGGATGGTACTGTGGAAGGTACACGCCATGAGAAGGGGTGGCTGGGGAGGGCCTCCCGGAGCCACAACCTGGGGGCTGACCCAGAGGGAACCAGGGGTTCTGCCATCAGGGGAAACAGTTTTCCAGGCAGAGGGAGCTGCTGAAGCAAAGACCCTGATGGGAGACCTGGCTCTGACATGTTCAATAAGGAACAGAAAGAAGGTCGCTGTGGCCAGAGCTGCGTGGATAGAAGGTGAGAATGGTGGGATGAGACCAGGGGGACGTTCAGGGACACCGGGAGTCAAGGGCCTTCCAAGCCATTCTAAGAGTTGAGATTTTATTTTGGTCTCAATATAATAGGAAGTTACTGAAGGAAGGCACAAAATGGCTGTTTTGCTAAAGCTCTTTTGTCAAGGCCTTCAAAGCTCACCTCCGATGAAATCTTGTGAAGATCCCGGCAGGTGAAGGATGTGTGAATGTGGGCAGACAGCGTTAAGGAGAGAAAATAGGGGTCAGACCCAGTTGCTGCAAGTCACAGCCAGAACCCCTTGCTGAGCAGGACAAAAATGGTCATGGAGTAAACCCCTGAAATTATACACTAATTCTGTGTGTGTGCATGCCTTATTTTAGGGAGTAACCCAGAGGAGTCTGCCACCAAAAAAGGCCAGAAAAGGAGAATATTGACCTGTATGCCTGTATACACACGTGCCCCCTCAGTAGGGACCTGTGCACGATGCCCTGTGGAGGAGAGTGGGGGGCAGGGCAGGACGGGAAACTTTTCACTGAGTACCATGTGCTTTACCTATTTTTAAAAGTCCACTTCAGTGTAAAGGACCGAAGCTGGAGAGGAATGGATGGGTGGGGAAGAAGGTGCCAAAGTCTTGGTGTGGCCCGGGAGGGGCAGAGACACATACGGGCTGATCCTAACTTGACTCTCCCACCCCCGGCCTGTGCACACATGCCTCACGCCTAGAGCAGTCTCACCCTGTGTCCTCAGAGGGCTTGGCTGCCCAGTGAGCACCACCTGCACTGTTCTGGGAGAGTGACAGAAACAGCTCTCCCAGAGATGACCTTTGGTCAGGTCACCAAAGCCACTGTCCTCCTCTGCCCAGGCCCCAGGCTCCTCAGAACCCCACACCTTCAAAGAGAGAATCCTGGACCTCTTGAGCACCCCGCTGAGTCCCCCAGGAGCTCTTGGCTCAGATCCAAGCACACTTCAACTCCCAACCACTTGGTTGGTCATTTTGCTTTGAGTAAAAGTTCCCCGGTTCTGCCTGGGTTCGTGCCCAGCCCTAGCCAGGCAAATGGAAGCTGAGATGGGGCTGTTTTTTTCGAATTCTCTCCAACATCTCGGTTTGGATAGGCTTTGCCTGCCCACAAATAGGTCTGGCCGGGCCTTCAGGACCCAGCTGTTCTCAGGCTTCAGCCAGGGGTAGGAACCAGCCACCCTCAGGTATTCTGATCCCCGGTAATCTGGGGCCACGAGTCAGGGAGTGGAGTCAGCCACTGATGAAAGGTCCCTGGCAGGATGCAGAGCAGGCTAGGGCCTCCTGGTTCACACTTGAGGAGGGTACGAGGGTGGCTATATGCAGGTCAGTTAAACCCCAGAGCTCCTGCCGTGCTGCGGAACAATTGAGACCTTTCCACACCCTCCTGAGGCCTCTGGACCACATGGGGAACCGGCATAGCCACTTCCACTCGCAAAGCCAAACAGAATGTTCCTGCCCCTTCTTCTAACTCTAGAATAAGTACATAATAACATCAACCACTATTTTGTGGGGAGTCACTGTGGCGGGGCCTGATTCAGTGGAAGACTCCATGTGTATCACCTCCCTAAAAATCCCACAGAACCTTTAGGTTGCGGCACAGGGAGGTCCCTTTGGCCCATAGCCAACCAGGGAGCTGCGATGTGAACCCAGGCAGCCTGGGCACACCGTGCAGGGAGCTGGTCACAAATGAAAACAAAGTGATCTGCAGAAGGACACTACAACCTCGCACCAAATGGTATCCAGTCCTCAGCCGGGTAGCCAGAGAACAAAAGCACAGGTCCTTGACAGTTCCACACACTGAGCTCAGAGCGTGCAGTGTGGGGCGCCTACCAGCCTGGAGTCAGGGCCCCTTAGGTTCCCTACCTGCCCTGTGCTCCATGACCTTGTGGCCCAGGGCAGCTCACAACCTCCTGGGCCCGCCCTTCTCTGAAATAAGGGGACAGCCTGTACTTCTCCAGCCTTCCAGGCTCCCAAAGGCTGCTCATCACTTTGGATGATGGTGTCCATCAGTCCGTCCTGCAGGGGTGCTCGGAGCTGGAAATCCTGGCTGACCCTCCAAACCTCTTCCCTACCCTGGGCACAGGGTAGGTGTGTGGGAGGTGCCCGGCTGGGAGGTGGGAGACTGGAGGGAGGCCTGGCTGCTTGGCTTAGTGCTTGGGGTCTCCTGCTTCATTTCTCTCATCTGATACATGGACTATCTACCAGCACGCCCTCACTTTATGAGGTTTGGGCGATGAATCTGAAAACCCTGTGGAGACTGTGAGGCCCAGGACGAGTTCACGAATTTGGGGGTGTGGTGTGTCTCTTAGCCTCTCCCTGCTGGCGTTTCCCAGCCTCTGAGGCGGGACAGGATGCAGGGAGAGGACAGAGGCCGAAGTGGGCATCACCAATACTCCATCTCCTGCCTCTGGCCAGTGGCCTCCAGTGGCAGGGACCCTTCCTGCGGGTGGAAGAAAGCAAGACATCAGGTGTGAGAGCCTTCCAGTGGCCAGATTGAGGCACAGACACCGAGGAGGGCTGAGGAGGAGCTCAGATGTTTTCCTCCTGACACCCGCCCTGGAGCTTACTCCTCAAGTCTTCGAAGGAAGAGTCTCAGGGCCCAGATAAGGCAACTCAGTCGTCAAACACAGTCATCGCTTGGGCACTAGGTACCCGAGACAGGAGAAAAGCAAGCTGCAAACTGCTCAAGGCAGAAGGCCTGCTGCCCATGTTAGGACCACAGGGGCGCGGAGCCAGCGGGCCATGGGGACAGGGAGCGAGCGGCCCGGGGAGGCCAGAGTGGGAAGGCCTTGGAGCCTGGCTGAAGTCTGCACCGACCAGGCGGCCGCTGAGCAGAGACCAGGAAGGGCAGTGGTCACCTGAGAGCCCTGGAAATCCCCTGGGGACAGTGGCACCTCCGACTCCAGGTGCACCGGTGCATCTGTGGGTGGGGGAACCCTGGGGCCGCGGGAGCTAAGTTGCCTCCCGCCCACAGAAAGCCTCCACCCTCCTGGCTCTGCCTTTCTGTCCTCAACGTGTTCAGCCTCCGCTCCTGTTCTGCGACACCTGCTGGCCCCATGCACCCTTTTCTCCCCAGAGAGTGCTTCCAACACTCTTGGAGCTCGCTCGCCGCACAGGGCAAACACTTCCTTTTTGGCGTGTGTCCCCAGTTCTTTTGGACTAATGTCTCTGTGGCCATTTCGAAGACTTTTGCTAAGGTTTCCCCTCCGCATAAGCCACACACAAGAGGTGACTGAGAGCCGGCCCTGCAGGTGAAACCCAGAAGTCTAAAGCAAAGCTCCGGCCCTGAACAACGGAGAAGCCAGTTACTGACGCAGTGCGCTTGCGGTCTGCGGGGAGCCGCAGGGACTAGCAGAGCCGGGTGCAGCTGGAGGGAGAGAAGTCAGGCCAGACCAGCGCGGGCTCCCTGAGAGAGGTGCCAGTGGAGCTGACCTTGAAGAAGGTCGGGTGTGAGGAAGGGGAAGGCGAGAAGGCATTCTGTGGAGGCTGTGATCACAGTGTCAGGCTTCTGCATTGATTATCCATGTAGGAGGCCAGGGGAACTTCATTAGGTGATGGCCACGGAAAGAACGAGAATGCATAACTATGTGAAGGCCAGAAAGTCAGTCTCTGGGCTCAGAGCCCTGGATTTCATATCTGTGAAATGACCTGAGGTCTAACTCTGGGTTTGCCAGGAACTGCCACAAGTGCTTTACCTGTAAAATGAAGGACTGGGCAAAATGTCTCTAATGTTCCACACTATTCTAGAGCAAGGAGAGAAAGGACTCAGGTGACTCTAGGCTTCCGAAGAACAGTCCCAACAACAGGAGGTGAGAAATCAGGAGAGGAATCAGGTTTGAGGAGAAGACTTCAGTTTTAAGTAAACAGGCTGGACCCCACCATGACCCTGCCTTCCACTGGGTTCTTGATCATGGGCACAGGCTGACTGGGTCTGTCCCACTGCGTCCCCTCCTCCAGGAGCGTGACCCCGCTGGCAGGAAGGTCAGAGCAAGGAAGAGGAACTGGCCTTTGCTCTGGGAGATTTGTCAGCTTCTCCCTTGGTGAATAAACACCTCTGTCGTCACCCACATGGTCTTTCTGGAAGAGGAGTTGATGCTGCAGAGTGCTTGAAGGCTGGGGTGGGATCCCCTAAAGGGATAGTTGAGTTTCCATCATCCCAGGGTAAGGGAAGCTTGAGCAATAAATTGTTGGGAAGTAAATTGAAATGTGGTTCCTTCATGCCCGGGTTCCTGCACCCATGAGAGTACCTCGTTCACAGGCAAACCTCCCGTGAGTGGTTCAGATGGGGGCGTCATGCTTGGGCGTGAACACAGCCCCTCGGGAACAGGATTCGCCAGGTTGGGGACTCGGTTCCTGTGATTTAATAATCCCCGCAGGCGGCTGTCAGTAGCACCTAGGTGAGAGGCTCCCTGGCCTGGAGACAGCTGCCTCAGCCAGGGGTTGGGGCCAGGAGAGGGATGGATGGAGATGGTCCTGGGAGACAAGGAGTTGGCTCAGAGAGACTGAGTGGGGGCTTGGGGATGGGGTGGATGTTCCAAGCGTAGAGGGGAGGGGGGGCAGAGGGCACTCCAGGCAGGGAAGGAGACACATAGGCCCTGGCTGAGGGGCTCAGCCTGTTTGGCGGGGTGTGAAGCTGGAGAGGCAGGCTGCGGTCACAGGGCAAAGCTCTGAATGCCAAGCTCAGAGCCAGACTAGATCCTGAAGCTGCCAAGAGTAGGGAAGGCTGTGAGCAGAAAGGGGAGACCATCTCCAGCACCAGGCGCAGACGTGGCCCTTATTTGTCCACTCAGGGCCCTTGAAGTCCCCGAATGAGCCGTGGCCTGTGGTCAGAGGGCAAGCCCGCACTACCTCCTGCCTCCACTTGCCTTGCCTTCACATCATGCCCAGACACTTCTATTTCTGACTTCAAGGCCTTGGTATGTATGAAATTCTTGCCTCTCCTTTGGCAGCCCTGCCCGCCTCTCTGGCCACAGTTTTGAGTTTGTACCCTTATTCTTACCCTTTTATGTCTGCCTTTTCTTGGGCCTTCAGCACAATCTGTCAAGATTAATTTGACACCAAACTGGCTTTCTCTAGGAAGAGGAAAGGCAGGGAAACTTCTAGGCACGAGAGCAAAATTCATGTCATGTGGGAAGAATTACCGTGACCCCTTCCTTAAGGCAGTTAGAGTCTTCTGTGTCCAGTGACAACCCATTGGAGAAAGAAGCCATTTCGTGAGGCACAGGTAAGTAGGAATATGGATTCTGGCCCATAGAATCTGGTGCTCCGCTGGCCCTTCCCTGTTTTGTTCTGTAACTGCGAATGAGACACCTTCCTCAGACCATGAATAGGACCCCCCCATCACTTCCAGAACCTGCTTTCTCTGTTTACCTCTGCTCTGCTTGGAAAATTCTTAATTTACTTCTGGAATTAGGTATGGGGTGGGACATTGGGTCCAGTTATCACATGGACCTTTATTCTCTCGTAGGAGCCTCTCTGGGCTGGGAAGATAGGTTTCTGTCACCTTCCTTACTGGGGACAGCATGCACTATTTCCTGCTTTTAATTCACATCTGTAGTTGATCTTGGAATTGGTTACAGTACTCTGTGTGGCCAGGACACTAAGTGCACTTCCAGACTCAAGAATGAAACAATAGGTTGCTCTGTTTTCTCAGAACGCTTGGAGTCCTGAAGCCTGGTCCCCACCACCACTAGGCAGTGCCTGCCCTTCTTTCTGTGACCCAGCCCTTCTGCCCAGAGCATCTCTGCCCTGGGTTCAGCTTCCGCTGAACCCAAGCCAGCCCACAGCATCTCACACTCTGGTCCAGAAGCCCCAAGGCAACAAGGAGCCTGCCAAGTGGGGAAGACATCACAGAGCTCGGTCCTGGTGGTGGCTCTGCAGCCAGAGGTCTTAGTAAGGAAGACACTTCTGCCCAGACAGCAACATCACTTTTTTCCCCAGTCCCTGGCACAGAGGCTGCCCCCACCCCCTGCCCTCCCGCCATCTCAACCTGCTGTGAGAACATACGAATATGTCACTTTATCTCTGGCAAGTCCTTGCTGAGTCATGCTGGGCTATGGGACGCCCCTGGGCAGAGAACTCGGGGCCTCTAGACAGAACAGCTTGTAAGTCTTCACACAGGGCAGAGTCTTGATCTGTATGGCACGTCAGCTGGAAAACAATTTGAACAGCATCGTTAACCATAACACTGACCACCTTTTGTCCAGGACTCTGAGCTCACACACACATGCTATCATCTTTATTTTGGTTTTTATAATAACCTACGAAGTAGAGAAGCTGGGCACTGTTGTTAGTCCATTTTTAGAGATGCCAAAGCTGAAGCCGAGCATGCCTGAGGCCACACAGGTCTCCAAATGGCAAAAAAAGGAACTGGAGTCTGGATTGGTGCTGGTTCTCCAGCACTTCATCTCTTCAGGACCCGGTGCCAAGTATCACCAGCTCGCAGTGGCAGCAACAGCTCAGACCACTGTGGGCTCCCCAGGGCCTGGTAGCTGCAAAGGCATGTGGATACTTTTGAATGTTCTCTAAGATCCTAATAACAAGGCTGAGTGGGAGCTTGCATCAGAGGGACAGGTGCTGGCCAGTCCTTCCCATCCCTGGAGACAGGTACCATTTTATTAAACCTGTTAAATTGGTTGTGTGGAGACTATCACAGAGGATATGGCCTGAGAAATCTTCCAACTTAGCAGACAATGAATATCCACAAACATCTCAGAGGACTGATCCAGAAGCCCTAGCTTTATGGCCATGTCTCAAACACATATGAAAGAAGATATGCATATGAGCCCAAACCACTTAACACAGTTGTCAAAGTACCGACAATATTATAAACCTAATGGATGCCAAGTTCTGTCCAATCAATTCACTCGATTCCACTGACATTTGCTGAGTGTGTCCGGTCTGTAGAATGCTGAAGAACAGACAGACACGTGCTCAGGGAAGTACTGAGGAAAAGTCCGTCACCGAGGACCCAGGACCTACCTGAGGGGCACTATTAGATTGAAATATGGAACTCAAATTGAGAAGAATTCTGACTTTGGGAGTTTCTGACCACATTTAATGTCTCCAGAGCAGTGACTAGGAAACCAGAGCATCCCATTGTGTCTTGGTCCTCACTTAGCAAACAGCTCACATTCTGTTTCTGCATCATTTTATGACCCTAGAGCCCCTGGAGCCATGCTAGGACAAGACAGCTATCAGAGCTAGAATGTGGCCAGAGCTAAGACGGTGCTCCCTATTTCTCATTCATGGGCTCATCCCATAAGCTTTTATTAAATGCCTGCTATGCTCAGGGTGAGGTGCCCAGTGGTCCCACCCACCGGGTTCCTTGCAGGGAAGAGGTCACAATCGGCTGTTTTAATAACCTGTGGGAAGTGAACTAAATGGGCCAAGGCAAAGCCTAATGGTCAGAAGAATGGCCTCAGTGAAAGAAAACAGCATGAACCAATGTGACAGGACACTGGGAATCAACAGCTGGAGACCAGCCTGGTGTGTAGCGATTGGGAAAAGAGCGGCTCTTCTGGAACAAAGGAGTTGAGCAAACCATGATTCCAAGAGGCAGAAAAGCCAACACCAGGTTTTCTGAAAATGGTTGCTGTGACCACAAACCAAAAGACAGATGATTTCATATGGGTTCCTGGGCCCCACCTGTATACAGCAACATTATCTGGAATAAGGACAATGTCTCACAGGAAACATTAGTTAAAAATTTTACTTAATTCAAAACACAACTCCCTTAATCTACTACTAGAAAAAAAAAATGATTAAGCCAACTCAGCTAAATTTCTCAAAAATCTGTACATACATACATATACAGAAAATAGCTTCGACCTGTGAGATTTGGGGCAGAGTACTGCATTTCTCTTTGTGTTGTTCTTTGCAGAACTGTTAAGATGAGCACCGTGCACAGAGTAAGTGCTGTACACATACATGTTAGCTCTATTACTATTAAACTGCTGTGTTAAAGTCAGACGAATACTCAGCCTGTCCCCCTCTTTTTCTTTTATCTGTCCTATCTCTACAGATGCTTTTGGGTGAACATCTAATTCTCATACAATCTTTGAAAAACACTTCTTTTTATCCTCGAGGCAGTGTCCACAGATTTAATCTGGTACTTCACAAGTTGCTGAGCCATAGGAAATTCTTTCCTCGGTACAATATTTTCAGACCACTGAGTCACAGGAGGTGACAGCTATAGTAAATCTTGTGGGCTCTTCAGTCCACAGCCACTTCTTAATGGAAAGGACTATTTCTGACCTTCAGTTCATGGCAGTTGCAAATGTCAAAGGCAGATCTTTTCCCTCCTCTCCCAGGCTCCCTCCTGTTCTGCAGTTTGCCTCCTCCTAGATAAATGAATGCTGATGGGATGTCATTCCCTGGGCGCTGAAAGATCCCCGACCTAAAATATCTTCCTCCGGCCCTGTGGGCTGGGTGTTTCGTCACCTGCACTGTGCTCTAAGGTCTGAGCAAAGGGGCTTCCCCTCCAAACCCAGGACTATAAATATGTCTCTGGGTTAGGACTGTATCATCAACAGTCCCTAGATAAACTAGCCCTCCTGGGAGGGCAGCATTAACCCATTATCTCCCCAAGCCCTTTAGGAACACATGACCATTGCTAAAGATGTTTTAAGGAGAGGCACAAATTCGAGGCTTGTAGACAAATCTGATCAATAGTCATGTTTTGTGGAGTGTACTTACTGTCCTAAGAAATTTTTTTAGTGACTTTTAGATATTTTCAAACCAGGGTATAACTTCTCCTGAAAAAACAAAAACAAAATACAGAAGCTCTAGCAACATGGTCTTGAATCCCCAGAAAATTACAGCAGTCTCTGGTGTCCCCACTAGGCTTATTTACCTACCTCAGAGGCCTCTGAGCTGCCCTGAAAAGTTGGGAGAGCCGGCCTGGGCACCTGGGACTCATTTGTTCTGTAACATTCCAATTCAAATATTTATTTTAACCCTACAAATACAGGGGGGAAAAAAGCACAAATACAAAGTATGAAAAAATAGAGATGATACAAAGTAGCCTAAATAGTCCTTGTCTGGAAAGAATGTAAGGATTTATTGAGAAAACAAAATATGCATGCTGAGTTTCAAATAAGGAAACAATTCTTAGATTTTAAAAGCACATTGTATTTTCCCTTTCCTCATCTTTTCCAGATAACATTTATTTTTGTTGAGTTCAAGTGTTTAGTTCCCCATGGCTAGCTGTCTCCAACTAGACCCAGCTCCTTGAGGCCATATACTGTCTTCTGTGTCCTCAGCACCAAGTGCAAAAAGGTGCTTTAGAATCCTTAGGTGTGGGCACCTGGGACCCTATGATTTTGTGGGATGTAAGAGGTTGTTTCTGGAACTTCTATTTTTATGTTTTTCTTCTTTTTTTTTTTAAGATTTTTTTTTTTTTTTTTTGACAGACAGAGATCATAAGTAGGCAGAGAGGCAGGCAGAGAGAGAGAGAGAGAGAAGGAAGCAGGCTCCCTGCTGAGCAGAGAGCCAGATGCAGGGCTCGATCCCACGACCCTGGGATCGTGACCTGAGCCGAAGGCAGAGGCTTTAACCCACTGAGCCACCCTGGCGTCCCCCCCCCCCTTTTTTTTTAAGATTTTATTTTATTTTTTTTAAACAGAGAGAGATAGCGAGAGAGGGAACACAAGCAGGGGGAGTGGGAGAGGGAGAAGCAGGCTTCCCACCAAGCAGGGAGCCAGATGTGGGGCTGGATCCGAAGATCCCCCCATCCATCACGACCTGAGTGGAAGGCAGATGCTTAACCACTGAGCCATCCAGGCACCCCCATGTTTTTGTTTTTCAAGAGAAGCTATGAAATACCTGGTTTTAAAATATTGAAAAGTCAATGTAAAAAACAAAAGTTTGAAAATACTGAGCACCTGGGTGGTGCAGTCCACTAAGCCTTAGTATCTTGGTTTTTGCTCAGATCAGGATCTCAAGGTCCTGATATCCAACCCAGAGTCCTGGTTCTGCATTCAGCACAGACTGCTTGAGTATTTTTCTCCCTCTCCTTCCGGCCCTCCCACTAGTTCTGTCTGTCCGCCTGTCTCTCTCTCTCTCTCTCTCTGAAATAAATGAATAAATCTAAAAGAAAGAAAGAGAAGAAAATACTGAGTAGACCCAACAATGCACGACTGTGGTTTACGAGTAGATGGCAATTAAAAATTTTAAATAGTAGTGACCATTTCTTCTCTATGTCAGCCATTTTGTATAAATTATTGTTTTATTAACATAACTAATAACATAGATAATGCTCCTGAGTGAAAATTCAAACAGTATATAGGCGTATGGACTAAAAAGCAAAAGCCTATTTTTTCCTCCGCAGGTGTTGCCACCCATTCCGGGTTTGGGGTGCATTCTTCCAGCTACGGATGGACAGACATATCTGCAACCTTGTCATAGTTATCAGATTAGTCCCATTTTACAGATGAGGAAACTGCAGCACAGAAAGGTGGAAGTCTTCATCTAAGATCACAGAGCTGCTCCTGGAGGGAGCCAAGATTCTAATCCAGATCCTCTGACTCACAGGTCAGCGCATTCTTTCTGCTACGCCCCATGTGTAAAATTTTGTGGCTAAAGAAACCGAGGCTCATGGAGGTCTCCGAGCTGTCACACCACACAGCTTGCATCCCAGTCCCGGAGAGGCAGTGGGTAACCGGGCTCTCAGGGAGGCGAGCGCGAGGACACCCGCTGGCCCGGGGTCCCATGGCTCATCCCGCTGCAGCGCGCAGCTCCTCCCTGCGCAGGGCTCGCCCACGCCGATCGGCGCCCCTTGCGCAGCCCGCGCCGACCCGCTCGGGAAGCCGGGGTTCCGGAGTCCAGAGCCCCGGCCGGGTCCAGCGCACGGGCCCAGCGACGGCTGCCTCAGCAGTGGGTAGGGACCGCCGCGGCTCCGCCCGAGCCGTGGTCCGGCGCCCGGCACGCGGGGGTGGTCGAGGCTCTCAGCCCCCGGGTGGGTGGCCCAGACGAGCAGGGGGTGGGGGGCCGCCGAGGGGCGCGGGCTGGGCGCGTGGCGGGCGGGGCGCTGGCGGGCGGGGGCGGGCGTGGGGGCGGAGCCGCGGCCAGAGGAGGCAGTGTCCCGAGCCCGGCTCAGGGGCCGGAGTGGCCGCCGCGGAGCCAGGCTGCCTCCAGGGAGCGCCCGGACACAGAAGGGTTAACGGGCCACCGGGGCCCGCGCAGAGCAGGTACAGACCCCGCCGGGACCCCCGGCCCCGGCCGCCCTCTCTCCCGGGTCGCGTTAGAGCCCCCGCCGCGCGCGCCCGCGCACCCCCAGCTCCCCGCGTCCCGCGTCCGGCGTCCCGCGTCCCGCGTCCCGAGTCCCGCGGTCGTGCCCCAGCCGCGACCCCGGCCCCAGCTCTATAGCCTCGGAAGATCTTCCAGTTCCTGGGGTCGAATTCCTGGGGAGGGGATTTCGGATCCTGTGGAACTCTGGCCCCATCACCCGGGCGGAGAATCAGCCAAAATTCCTACTAAGTCACGGAGTAAAGTTGGAAAACATACCCAGGACCTCCCCGCACGCGCCGGCGCCTCCTTCGAGGATGTGTGCCCCTGTCATCCCCGTAAATCCAGGAGCTGGGGTCAGGGACGCTGGGAGGGTTGCGCAGGGGTGCCCTTGATCTGGCAGAGCCTGATGACTGGAAAGGAAGGACACCTGTTTGGATCGTCCTCCAAGACCCATGAATGGAGGGCACAGTGAGGACCAAGGAGTTCTGACCCAGGGCAGGGACTCTCCAGCCAGCCCTGAAACACGCTGTCCCACCCTCTCCCCTGCAGCAGCAGCCCATTTTCCAGAAGTGGGTCCCTCTGGGGTTGAAGGGGTTAGCCCTGCCCAGGTCTGTCCTCCTTGATCCTCACTGGCTGGTGTGGAGGTGTGGCCAGGAGGGGCCCAGGTTTGTCCAGACCAGCCTGCCATGGGGATGACCACTTTAGACCTCTCCTTTCCTCACCCTGGGCGGTGAGACACACCAGATGAGGAGCATAAAAAGGGGTGAGGAGCACAAATGTGTGTCTGTTTCTGCAGTGGAGGTGGTGTCGGTCCCCTGCCCAGCTGTGCAGGGGGTGGGGTAGGACTTTTCCAGAGAGGGAGCCAGGCCTGGCCAGGGCTCCAGGAGTTCACGTCACCCCCCCCCCCCACCCCCCCCCCCTCACTTCTCCAGGGAACTGCCAAAGCCAAACCCAGCTCAGGACAGGATTATGTGTACTGGGTAGACCCGTAGAGAGAGAGACAGCAAGATAGAGAAGGGGGGGTTGCTGAGGGGGGGCAGAGAGAAGCAGAGCCTGAGAGAGAGTGGAGAGGGTACCCAGCAGTAGAGAAGGGGCAGACAGTGACCATCAGCCCCATCTCTCCTCTTTGACCTCAAGCAACAGGGCCAGGGAGAGAGCTGAAGGCTTGGGTGGACCGTTGGCCCTTCTCTGGAGCCCCTACACCCCCATCAGGGTGGAGTTGCTGACCTCAGTGGCTAGCCCAGCCAGGGGAAGGAGCAGCCATCAGCAACCCCTTCCCAACCCAAAACAGCTGAGGTGACCCTGGGCATTCAGGCTCAGCCTCTGCAAAACCCCCCTCAAACTTCCAGGTCTTGGGGTCTCAGGGAGGGGAGTGGGACTGAGAGTGTTGCTACCCCCAAGTACATTCCTGCCCTTCCCTCTGTCATTTTCCTGCCCCTAAGCTGGCCCACCTTGGCATTAGCTCCTTGGATTCCTCTCCCGGGTGCCTTTCAGATCCAACAGAAACATTTTTTTTTTTTTCCTGGAAAGCAGAACTAAGAGCGGGTTGAGGAGTGGGGGTGGGAAGGGCTCCTACTGAGCAGCAAGGGGCTGGAGAGGACTGGGGAAGCTGTGGCTTTGAGACCAGGCTAGGGCTCCAAGCTCCACTTCCCTGATGATGAAAGCTAGACTTCAGGATGGACTTCCTGGCTCCTCAGGATGATAGGACTATGACTGGGGAGCAAGGGCTGCATCTCTCCTTCCCAGGTTCCCCCAGCCCATCATCACCGGGCCTGAAATAAGCCCTCACTGAACCAGTGCTGAGGGACGCTGGTCCCTAGAGGGAGGTTAAATAAAATGAGAAAAAAATCACCTGGTTCTCTAAGAGATTAAAGCATCAGCCCATTTAGTTTATCTCTTGGCTAGAAAGTGTTTGAGGCCTGCAGAGATGTGCCACGGAGTTCCAGAGGGAGCCTAGTTAAAATAAAACAGAAGAAAAGGCTGGGAGGCAAGTAAGAACAGGAAACCTCAAGGGACTTCTTCTTAGCTGCTTAGAGTGAGTATCTGCAGTCCTCACCCATGCCTCCCTCAACTGTCCAGGACCTCTGGAAGGGCAGGAGGCAAACGAGATAAAAAACCATCTTAAGGAAGACACGTGTGCTTGTGTGGCCTCATCTGGCCGGTAAACAGTCACTAGTTGAGAGGAGGGAGGAGCTGAGAAGTTCCTGCAGGCTGAAGGGAGGGGACTGTGCCACAGTTGGGAGGCTGAGGTCAGACCCCCACCCTCTAGCCTTAGTGGACAGGAAAGGGCAGCATTCCTTCCCGCTGTCACCCTTAGGTCATAAAGGGGTGGGCCAGTCTTCCTCCACCCCTCCATCCTCACTCGGAGATGTCCTTCTGAGGAGCCATCCCTGCCAACCCCTGGCTTTCTGGAGCTTGGAGAGGTAACCACCAGGCTTCTGTCCCCACAGAGCGCGCCCCCTCCATACCCAGATGCCTAAGTAGTGTGGTTACTTCCGGTCTCCTCTCCTAGGCTCGGGGCATCGAGGGAGGAGCGATGGAGAAGTGGGCGGGCAGGTAAGTGTGAGGCTGCCGGCAGAGAGACGGCTCTGTCCCTGCAAGTGAGGGAAAGGCCATTACTGGGCTGGGGCGTGGGGCAAGTGATAAGAAGCATCTGCTTTCTGAGAAGCTGGCATTAGGATGTGGGGAGCCTGCTGAGGGGGAGGGGGCGTCATAACACCTTCTCTGGCTGGTTTGCAGGCCTCAGTTGTGTCTGATGCTGCTTCTGTCCCTCCCTGAGCTCGGCCTGGATCAGGAGGTGCGCCAGGGACCAGAGGTTGTGATCCTGTCATCCTCCCTAGCACCCACCCCACTTCTTCAGGCCGGGCGTCCCGTTTTCTGCAGCTTCTGATAAAACATGGCGCCTTTCACATTTGCCTTCTCCCCGACCCCACTAACTCCTTGCCAAACAATATCAAGTCTCACCTCTGCTATTGACTGTGACCTTGGACCAGTAACAACTGCCCCCACCCTCGGGTCCCGGACTAGATACCCTGTACAGTTCCCTCGAAAATCCTTCTAATTTTGTCTGACCTTTTTGTCCACATAGGTGTTGTCTGGACACTCTCTTCAGACACCCCCAGAGGAGGGTCAGGGCCCTGAGGGTGTCTGGGGTCCTTGGGAGCAGTGGGCCTCTTGCTCCCAGCCCTGTGGAGTTGGGGTGCAGCGCAGGAGCCGGACATGTCAGCTCCCTACAGCTCGACTCCACCAGGGCCTGCCCTTCCCACCCCGGCCCCCAAGACATCCAGAAGCCCTGCTCCCCCGGGGTCAGAGCCCCAGACCTCAGACTTCCCGAGAAACCCTCCCCCTGTACAGGCCACAGCCTCGGGGAAGAGGTGGCCCACGTCGAGGTCCTGCTTCCCAACTAGGGAGAGCAGAAACCCGGGAGATAACAGGAGCTCGGGGGTGGGGGGTGGGGCTTGGGGGGGGGCGGGCGGAGCCTTCTGTGAGGGTGGGGCTTCAAGGGGGGCGGGCCTTGTTTGAGGGGCGGGGCTTAGCGAATGAAGGAAAGGGAGCAAAGGATGTGTGGCTTAGGGAGGCCTATCTTCGGTGCTAGGAAGTAGGCTGGGGAGGCAGGGCTGGAGTCGGCCAGAACTCTGACCCCCTGTCTGCTATACATTCTCAGGTCCCGGGTTCGAGACCCCATCAAGCCAGGAATGTTTGGTTACGGGAGAGTGCCCTTTGCTTTGCCACTGCATCGTAACCGCAGGCACCCCAGGAGACTGCCCGGAGCTGAGACCTCCCAGACCTCAGATCTTCCATCCCTGACTCCAAGAACAGAGCCATTCTCCACAAACCACACAGTTCAAACTCAGTTCCCTCCTATAGAACTTTCTGCCCGCCCCCCACACCCCCCAGCAGAACTCCCAAGCCCTGAAACTAATCAGACAGAAGTGCCCTCTAGAACCAGGCCTGTCCCCACGCAGCCCCACCCCAGAGTCCAGGCCTCTGGCACAGAGCCTGCCTCATCCATCCCCTACCCAGGAGAAAGTAACTCCTTCCATGTGTCCCCTCAGCCAAGAATGCCAGATTCTCAGGGTTCGGCCAGTCTCCAGGTGGCTGAGAGATACCCTAATCCTTTCCTTTCTGTCCTTCGGGGCAGAGGCCACCAGAGCCAGGAGCACTGGAAACCTGGGGGGAATCTCCATGGGTCCCTCATGGAGCCTGCCCCCCACTATCCAGATGGCTGGTTGCCTCTGCTGAATGATGGCCCCCACTCCGGTTCGCTCTGGAGCCTCTTTGCTCCTGATAGGCCTGTGCCGAGGTGTTCTGGGGAGAGAGAGCAGCTGAGAGCCTGCAGCCAAGCGGTGAGTTCTTCTTTGGACCATCCCCTCTCCAGACTTGCACTTCTGCTTCCCTGGCCCTAAGTCTGGGTCCTCAGCTTGTCAGATCTGGACCTGAGGGTGAAGGGCCTTGGCATCTGACCTCCTCAGGGTAGGGGCCTTGGAGCTCTTCCACAGACCTGACCTCCCCCCAACACCCCCAAATCCAGCCCTGACCCATACCCCCATTTTCCTCCCCAGCTTTGACTCCTCTGTATCCCCCCACCTCAGCCCTGCCCCCCTGAGCAGCCAGACCCCCGGGCCCTGCAGTGTGCAGCCTTTGACTCCCAGGAGTTCATGGGCCAGCTCTACCAGTGGGAGCCCTTTACCGAAGGTGAGGTTTCCAGCGATGAGCTGGCTTCAGACTGGGGGATGATGGGGAGAGGGAGACACCAGCCCCTCTATTTCTCTTCTGTAGGCCCTTGCATTTCTCCTCTGTGTAATATTTTCTTTCTTATTTCTCAGGGTTGGGGTGAAGAGACAGCACAGGCCAGGAAAGGGGAGTGGGTTTCTGACAGGGCCCAGCTGTCATATGGTGAGGGATAACCCTGCAGAGGGATCAGGCTGGGAGAGGGAGTATACAGAAGTGCCCTTCGGCTGCCTTCCTCTGGGAAGAAGTCCATCCCAGGAGGTGGACCTGACAGGAGGAGGGCATGGTCAGAGAGATCCTGTCCGGTGATGACATCAGAGTGGGGGTGTACCGTGGGCCCTAGCTAATGCTAGACCACTTGCTCCAAGTTACTGTCCGCTTAATTTTCGGCCTGTGTCAACCCAATGCCAAGAAACCCCTTCATGAGCTCACGTAATCATAGGTTTCGGGTATCTGTTCTCTCTCACAGCTCACAACCCCTTTGCTGATCTCAGTGACCTCAACTGACCTGACTCAGTTTTTGTATGACCCTCAAAGCAACCCTTCAGAATACAGAATTGTTTTTTTTCCTCCATCCATGGCAACGTAGGCGAGCTCAGGATGTCCTATAGCCAAGATGGGACCTTTGTCAGCCTCCCACCCGGGACCCCAGCTAACCACTCTCCCACCCTGTTTCTTAGTTCAGGGCTCCCAACGCTGTGAACTGAACTGTCGTCCCCGTGGCTTCCGTTTCTATGTCCGTCACACGGAAAAGGTCCAGGATGGGACCCTGTGTCAGCCTGGAGCACTAGATATCTGCGTGGCGGGACGCTGTCTGGTGAGAGAGGATGGAGTGTGTGTGTGTATGTATGCACACACGCGTGCACACACGTGGGCATGTGCACAGTCTCCTCAGTCATCATCACAGAAACAAAACCCCAGGCTGACATTGCAAAAAGGAAAGTTCTCACCTACCCAGCTGGAGGTGAGAGCAGAGCCAGAAGTGAATTGCAAGAAGGAACCCCTCAGGCGCGTGCACGCTTCCCTGAGGCTGGCTGGGGATGATGGGCTGGCACAGGAACACCTTCTCCCTCACAATGTAAAGATCGAGATGCAGGGTGAGCTGGAGGGTCCTGAGAGGACCAGGTGGGGTGCGGCGGGGTCTAGCTTCAGGTAGCCCCTGCCTCACTCTCCCCCAGAGCCCCGGCTGTGATGGGATCCTCGGCTCTGGCAGGCGTCCAGATGGCTGTGGGGTCTGTGGAGGGGATGATTCCACCTGCCACCTCGTCTCAGGGAACCTCACAGACCGGGGGGGCCCTCTGGGCTATCAGAAGATCCTGTCAATTCCTGTTGGAGCCACGCAGCTCCAGATTGCCCAGCTCCGGCCCAGCTCCAACTATCTCGGTGAGCTCTCCAGATTCTCTGAGTCTTGGGTCCCTGTTCCACTTCTGGTCTCTTGGTTCATCCCTCCACAACCCCATTGAGCACAGGAAATGGGCCAAGCAGAAGGAAGTCAGGGGCTCCTTCCCTTGCGGAGGTGGGAGGAAGCTGAGAGGGTGCGGGGTATCGGGTTCTGTGTGGCTAAGTGGAGTGTAGGAGGAGGACATTATGACTGACCCCGTGCCCTGATCTCCAATCTTCAGCCCTTCGAGGCCCTGGGGGCCAGTCCATCATCAATGGAAATTGGGCCGTGGATCCCCCTGGGTCCTACACAGCCAGTGGAACTGTCTTCCTGTACAACCGGCCTTCCCGAGAGGAGGGCAAGGGGGAGAGTCTGTCAGCCAAAGGCCCCACGACCCAGCCTGTGGATGTCTATGTGAGCTTGGGGCCTGGGGAAGCTGGACTGTTGGAGAGGGGGGCCTTTCCCTCTGGGGGCAAAGCTGTGGGGCACAAGATGGCGGAGAAGGCTAGCAGTATGCCCCCCCAGCCTCCTCCCCCAGACAATTCATTATCTTCTCTCTCCCCAGGTGATCTTTCAGGAGGAGAACCCAGGCATTTTTTATCAGTATATTATCTCTTCAGTTCTTCCAGACCTTGGGAGCACCACCCCAGAGCCCCACTTCCCCCAACTCCAACCAGGTGAGACTCTGCTCCCCAGACCTAGGAGGTGGGGAGGGGCTGCCAGGGGAGCTTCAAGGCAGTGGGGGGGTATTTGATTTGCCTACTCAACTGTCCCTGCACAGAGATTTTGAGGGTGGAGCCCCCACCCGCTTCGATGCCCCGCCCTGCCCGGACCCCAGGCACCCTCCAGCGTCAGGTGCGGATCCCCCAGATGCATGCTCCACCCCATCCCAGGACACCCCTGGGGTCTCCAGCTGGATACTGGAAGCGAGTGGGACACTCGGAGTGCTCAGCATCCTGCGGAAAAGGTGAGACTTCATGCACCAGCCTGTATTCCTGGCACCCTTAGCTCACATCCCTGACTTGGCACTCCTGATCCCACACCCTGGACTGTGTTCCTTGCCTTGACTCTGTAACAAGTCAGATCCCAGCATCTGGGACCCCACTGAGCTCTGAGCCATCCTGCCTCCTGTGGCTTCCCTTTCATCCCCTTCAGGTGTTTGGCGCCCCGTCTTCCTCTGCGTTTCTCGTGAGTCAGGGGAGGAGCTGGATGAACACAGCTGTGCCATGGGTGTCAGGCCCCCAGCCCCCCTGGAGCCCTGCCATGGTCCTCCATGCCCCCCATAGTGAGTACGGCCCACAGGGAGGGCTAGGGTCTTAGGACCACGAGAGCTGTCCCAGGCAGACACATCCACACTGCTGTAGGAGCTCACCCTGGGCTCTGCACCCAGCTCACGGGATCAATGACAGTGTTTGATTAGAAAGGCTTACATTCCTGGGATGCCTGGGTGGCTCACTAGGTTGACTGTCTGCCTTCCGCTCAGATCATGATCTCAGGGTCCTGGGATGGAGCCCGCATCTGACTCCCTGCTCAGCGGGGAACCTGCTTCTCCCTCTGCCTCTGCCTGCCCCTTCCTCTCCTTATGCGCACACACTCTTTTTCTCTCAAATAAATAAATAAAATCTTTTTAAAAAGAGAGAGAAAGGCTCACATTCCCTAGACAGGAAGAAAACCCTGGCAGCCTGAGACCCACAAGGGACCTCAGACTCAAAGTGATGAAGATTCCCCCTCCCCTCTGCGGGTCCCCCCAGCCCAAGTCCATCATCCCTTCCCCACTACTCGTGGCAGCTGCACCCATCTCTGTTTCCCTGCTCTGTGTCTCTGCCTCTTCCTCGTCTGCCGTGCGCGCGCAGCTGGGAGGCGGGCGAGTGGACGTCCTGCAGCCGCTCCTGTGGCTCCGGCACCCAGCACCGCCAGCTGCGCTGCCGCCAGGAGTTCGGGGGCGGCGGCTCCTCGGTGCCTCCCGAGCGCTGTGGACACCTCCCTCGGCCCAATGCCACCCAGCCCTGTCAGCTGCGCCTCTGTGGCCACTGGGAGGTTCGCTCCCCCTGGAGCCAGGTGAGTGGGACCTGGCAGGGAGGCTGCTAGGTGAGGAAGGAGCCTAGGTGAACGGGCACCCGTGGGTAGGCACAGTGGTCTCTCCAGTCCTTTTTAATTAGGAGAGATTTTTTTTTTTTTTTACTAACAAGACCTCTTGAGAAACCCCCATCTATAAACCCAAATAATACCCTGGACAGGGGTTGGGGGCCCAGAGCCCCCAGCCTGCCCCTCAGCCCATAAAGCCATGGAACCGCTCAGTAAGGGGTCAGAGGCAGGTCCTGGTTCAGAGGCCGTGAAGCTAGAGGCCCAGGGAGGGTGGGGGTTGCCGGGGATGTCAGGGGGTTGGGGAAGTCTGGGAATCTTTCAGAGGCTCTCCTCCCCTCAGTGCTCAGTGCGGTGCGGGCGGGGCCAGAGGAGCCGGCAGGTCCGCTGTGTGGGGAGCAACGGTGATGAAGTGAGCGAGAGGGAGTGTGCGTCGGGCCCCCCGCAGCCCCCCAGCAGAGAGGCCTGTGACATGGGGCCCTGTACCACAGCCTGGTTCCACAGCGACTGGAGCTCCAAGGTGGGCCCTGCACCCCTCGTCCAAGTCGTGCATCCCTGGTGCCCCTAACCTAAGATGTTTCCAACACGTTTCCGTATGCATATACTCAGCAAGCCCTGTTATGGGCTAGATGCCACTGGTACTGGGAACTGTGATATGAGTGAGGAAGAACTCGCATTAGGGTCCTCAGCCCCCAGGACAGGTTCCGCTTAGCTGGGTGGTAGCTGGGGCCCTCCCTAACTCTGGGGATCCAGGATGCATCACCCGCAGCCCCTCCTCCTCCCCCCCAAATCCATCACCTTCTCAATAGTGCTCAGCAGAGTGTGGGACAGGAATCCAACGACGATCTGTGGTCTGCCTTGGGAGTGGGGAGTCCCGTGGGGCGGGCCAGGAGGAAGCAGGAGCTGGGACCACTGAGCAGAGCTGTGCACTGGGAAGCCGTCCTCCGGACATGCGTGCCTGCAGCTTGGGACCCTGTGAGATGACGTGGTGTTGGTACACGGGGCCCTGGGCCGAGGTGAGCGAAAAGCCTGGGACAGGGCTGTCCATCAGTGGGAGTCCCTGTGGACTGGAGGGAGTCACCCCTGTTCTCCCTTCCTCTTGCACACCCTCCCCTTCCTCTGCATCAGTGCTCCTCAGAATGTGGCTCTGGCACACAGCGTAGAGACATCATCTGTGTATCCAAACTGGGTACAGAGTTCAACGTGACTTCTCCCAGCAACTGCTCCCACCTGCCTAGGCCCCCTGCCTTGCAGCCCTGTCAGGGGCAGGACTGCCAGGACCGATGGTTTTCTACGCCCTGGAGTCCGGTGAGTGCCAGCCCCCTTGTCCTACTAAGTGCAGACTTCCAGGGAAGGGGAGGCTCCTCTCATGGCATCCCCACTGTGTCCTAGGACGAGGCCAGCTGCAGTCGGTTTATCATTGTCCCATTTCCATGTAGACATGGAGGACAGGTGGGCCCCGTCCATGTGGGATTTCATAATGTTCCAGGAGAGGCCTCCCCCCCATCCCCCACATGCACACACTACTTTCAGAGAAGGAGGTGGCCTGGGGGTCAGGAGGAACCTGGGTCATAACAAGGGTCTGATTTGATAGCGGGTGTCCGCAGTGCTCTCGCTCCTGCCAGGGGGGTATTCAGACGAGGGAGGTCCAGTGTCTGACCGCCAACCAGACCCTCAGCGTCCGATGCCCTCCTCACCTGCGGCCCTCCAGGAAACGACCCTGTAACAGCCAGCCCTGCAGCCAGCGCCCCGGTAAAGAGCCCTTCCCCCCCAAGTCCCCCAAACAGTGGAGTTAACTGAAGTATGGGAGGGATGAGAGAGGACCAGTGGGAGTGGGCACTGCACCTCCAGAGGGAAGGGTCTGGGTGATGTGCCCACTGGCCTCCTCTGTCCCCAGATGATCAATGCAAGGACAGCTCTCCACATTGCCCCCTGGTGGTACAGGCCCGTCTCTGCGTCTATCCCTACTACACAGCCACCTGTTGCCGCTCTTGTGCCCATGTCCTGGAGCGTTCTCCCCCAGAGCCTGCCTGAAATGGGTACAGGAGACCCTCTCCTCATGGTTTCCTCATGCCACCATCAGTCACCCACCCATCAGCCCACTCTGTACTCTCTGGCTCTCCGGCCTGCCCTAGTCTCATCAGGGATGTCCCCTAGGGTGGTTGAAGGTGGCAAAGACGACTGTCAAGATATGTGGCTGGGTGTGTGTGTGTGTGTGTGTGTGTGTGTGGTGTGATGTGATGGTCCGTGTGCACACATGCACCACATGTGTATTGGGAGCCTGCATGGATGGATGTGCTCATACACATATTATTTTTCAAAAAAGAAGTGAAACAGACTGAAGAGGAGTGGAGAGTGGACGATGCCTGTTTCCCTGAGACTTTTCTAGGCTGAGAGGAAAGCAAATTTGCAGCTCCTTAGTAATCCAAACTGCCTAGCACCTGGTCTCCCCATCAACCCGATTTTGTGCCCTAAACTTCAGTTCTCATGTTCAGACCTCACCTCTTCTAAAGCACCATTTACCATCTGATCCCTTCTCCCCACACTTAGTCTCTCCATCCCTACTGCTCAGAATCAGCTAGGGATGGGAGTCAGCCACTGCCAGTCCTGCCTTACCCCAGGAAGAGAGACTACCTCCCCAGAGCAGGGACCAGCTGGGCAGAGGATGGAAAAAGAAAAAAATAGAACAAGACACCCTAGCCCCTGCTCCCACTCCCCACCTCCGAAAATGGTTCCCCCCCAGAACTAATTTATTTTTTATTAAAGATGATTATGACAAATGAGAAACAGGCTCTTTATTGTCCTGATGGGAACCCATCCACCTGGGCCCTAAACAAGCAGTGTGAGGTCAGAATGAGCGGTGGGAAGGGGGAATAGTACCTATAGCCCAGGCGGAGAGAGTCTGGGCCCAGATAGGGTGTTAAGTGAGCCCCAAACCCGGGAGAGGATCCTGGCCAACCGTAGGCCTTGCAGGTTGGCCATCGACCACTAGAGGTCGCCACTTCTCCCACTTTAGGTATGGAGCTGGGAGCTAGGTTCCAGCGCTGAGGAAAAAACTGCATGGCCTGTGGTGGGTTTCTCCATAGACTGAGTCTTTCTGTAAAGTCTCTTCGAATCCAGTAGCTCTGCTTTCAGTCTGGGGCTGAGCTGAATAGCAGTTGGCTTTGCAGGGGTCTTTTCTCCTGTTCTCTTTCTTTGGCCCTCCCTGCCTGCTTCACCCATCTTTTCTGCCCTCACCCATTTCCGCATTAAGCTCTCGGTTTATTGCTTTTGCTAGGGTGGGGGAAAGAAGTCACTTCTGCCCCTCCCTGCTTCCCTCTGCGGAAAGGACCGGAGGAGGAGGAGGAGCCTGGCCTGGTCTGGCTCTAGGGGACTTAGGGCGGGGTCGAGGGTGGAGCCAAGGCAGTACTGGATGTCCTGCCAGAGACATTCTTCAGAGATGTATCATGCTAGTCTCCCTTCCTGCGGTCTTGTCATCACTCAAGGTAAATAGCTTGCTAGAGGTGGTATGAGAGCGGGCAGCTTATTCCACAGTACGGACCTCTGCAATTCTGAGGTCTGAGTTCCAGGTCTCTGCTTCTGGAAGCCGGATTTCCTGGGGGTCCCTGTGTCTAGGAGAGGAAGGGGGGCAGTGCAACAGAATCAGATTCATCCCCATTGGAAGCATCCCTCCCCCAGCTCTGCATCTCTACAAGTCTGACCAAGTAAGGCCATTAATAAAAGCCTGTGGAAACAGTTGAACTCAGTGACAACCATTTCCTTGAACACACTAAGGCCCTGTGAAGGATACCAGAGTTGCCCAAAGATAGAAGATTTCTACTCTAGCAGCAGACTGGGGTCATGCTGTTGCCTGGGGACTTAGACTTTTCCTGGGTTGGAAGTGGCTGAGAAGGAAGACTTTGGGCAACATCTTGGGAGGAAAATGGGTGAGGAAGGAGGCCAAGGGAGTGGAGGGAGAGGAAAATGAAACTGACTCACCCTGGGGGAAGGAGTGAGGAAAAGGACAAGCGCAGTCTCGGTGTCTCTGTTCTGCCTTAAGAGGAGCTATTAGACCTATTCTTCTGTCTCTGGGTGAACCTGTAAGGGGATCAGAGATGTGGGGGATCAGGGAAGTGGGATCTGCCCCAGCCCAGTAGATACAGAGGGCAGAAGGCGGAGTCCCAAGACCGAGGGCGGGGGTGGCAGTGACTAGCTGGGGCCCTCTCAGCGATTCCTGGAAGCTGCAGTCTGGGTGGTGGCCCCAGCTCAGCTGACTTCTCCGAAGTTCCCCTCCCGCTTAGGGCCTCTTAGGGCTGTTGCTGGGCAGGTTTGGAGTTTGGCCTGAGTCTGAGAACCAATCACAAGTGGGGATCGCAGCCGCAGCCCCTCTTAGGGCACCCCCAGCTTCAGCACCTCCTTGCTCTTTATGGCTGCCCCTGAGCTCCCTGACAGCCACCAGCCTCTGACTTCTCAGAATATGGGCTTTCGTTTGGGGGGTTGCCCCCTCCCCTTTCACTTTAAAGCTAGGATTCAGCGCAGCCCCTAAGGGTTCTTTCCTCTGGTCCTGAAGTCAGTATGGGGTCAGTGTGGAAGCTTTCAGGAAGGGGACTCTGACCCAGAGCAACCCCTTTTCCTAGTCCCTTCTAGGGGAGTAGTGTGGCCAGACACCTCTCCTTTGACCTCTGAAACCCTCTAGAGGGACTTGGGAGAGAGGAAGCTGTGAGCCAAGGCCAGAGAGATGTGGTAGAGTGGCCCCGAGGTCTGGCATACTGGGGGGAATTTAGGGAAGGACGCAGAGGAAGTGGACCCCTGAGAATTGAGGTGGGGGTGGGGAGGTTATAGGAACAATCTTGGTATGCACGAGAGAGATCAAGCGTGCAGAAACTGGCCAGCGTCATTTCTGAGTGCTTGCTGGGGGAAGGGGATTGTGGTTCTGTATCAGTGTACTTGGGGGTGAACTTGTGAGGTCTCAGTTCAGCTGGGTCAGAATTCCTCTCCCCTCCCCCCTCCCAGCTTCCCCAGGGTAACTACCCATCCGATAAGCAGCAGCCTTCAAACTAAATTTATCTCCTAGACTTCCCCACCCCCCTGGGCCTCCCTGTAAGCAGGTGCTCACAGCTGGGTTTGTGGAGACCAGCACTCTTCACTGAACCAGCTTCAACCTTCCTGCTAACTAGGGGAGCGGCAGAGCGCAGGGCCTACGGGCTGCCCCAGGGCGTGAGTGGCCAGCCTTGAGGCTCCCTCTGTCAGGAGCCCTAGAGAGCAGAAATATGGAGGGTCTAGACAGTGGGACAGAGAGGGAGGGATAAGAGTGAGAACAACAGGGACGCCTGGGTGGCTCAGTTGGTTAAGCAGCTGCCTTCGGCTCAGGTCATGATCCCAGCGTCCTGGGATCGAGTTCCACATCGGGCTCCTTGCTCATCAGGGAGCCTGCTTCTCCCTCTGCCTCTGCCTGCCATTCTGTCTGCCTGTGCTTGCTCCCTCTCTCTCTCTCTCTCTGACAAATAAATAAATAAAATCTTAAAAAAAAAAAAAAGAGTGAGAACAACATGCAAGGAGAAGCTCCCCTCCAGATTCTCTCTGACCAGATCCTCTTTCATTTCTCACTCTCCCCTTCTGCCTGGTTTTACAGATAGAGACTTCATTTTATTTTTACTTATTATTTTTAAAGATTTTATTTATTTATTTGTCAGAGAGAGAGAGGGAGAGAGAGCAAGCAAAGGCAGACAGAGGCAGAGGGAGAAGCAGGCAGGCAGAGGCAGAGGGAGAAGCAGGTTCCCTGACGAGCAAGGAGCCCGATGTGGGACTCGATCCCAGGACGCTGGGATCATGACCTGAGCCGAAGGCAGGTGCTTAACCAACTGAGCCACCCAGGCGTCCCTATTTTTAAAGATTTTATTTATTTATTTGACAGAGATCACAAGTAGGCAGAGAGGCAGGCAGAGAGAGAGGAAGAGAAGCAGTCTTCCCGCTAAGCAGAGAGCCCGATGTGGGGCTCGATCCCAGGACCCTGGCATCATGACCTGAGCCGAAGGCAGAGTATTTTAACCCACTGAGCCATCCAGGTGCCCTATTTTTACTTATTTTTTAGACACTTCACTTTAACTTAACATGCTCCCGCACTAGAGTGAACTGAGTCAGGGAGCCGCCCCCTCTCCTTGAACCACAGAGAATCAGCCTAGACCAGAGATTGTAGTTTGGGTGTATGTGGTAGGGGTTCCCAGGTTCCCACGCTCTCCTACCAACACCCCTCAAATCCACCATCTCTGGAGCTGGGAGGCAGCTGGGTGGGCGAGTTAGAGCAGAGGGGGCTTATTTGTTACAGGCAGGTGATGAAGAGGTGTTAGCTTTAAAGGGTGTGGGCAGGGGAGGGGCTTCTTCCACAGGAAGTGGAAAGCCTCAGGAAAGTACCTAAGTCAGAGTCTATCAAGAGCAATAAACAGTTTGGGTTAACCTCAAACTAGACAGCACAAGTTCTGAATCTGACTTTGGGCCCTTGACCTGGGAGACTGGGGAAAATCTAGAGGGTGTTCTGGGGCTGAGGTCTGAAGGTAAAGAGAATTTGAGGGATGAATGTGTAACACTAGTCCAGAACAAGGTGCGCATGAGGCATGGCAGTCAGATCCCAGCGAAGCAAGCAGGCCTCAGGGGAAGGGGAGATGTAGTAAGAAGCTGACAAACCAGGGGATTTTCTCAGGCAGCACCAGAGAACTGTTGGAGTGGCCTGGGGAAGAACCTCAGTAGTTAGAGGCGGGATGGGCGCAACTTAGGAAGATCCCTGGCTGGGGTTAGATGTGCAATGCTGTACTCTTCCGTGCCTTGCCTGAATCTCTTTGAGACACAGCTGCACAGGGGCACCTGGCTGGCTCAGTCAGTGCATGTTTGGGGTTGTGGGTTTGAGCCCCACACCCGGCGTAGAGCTTACTTTAAAGAGAAAAAAAAAAAAAGACACAACGCTATAGAACTTTGAGGAGGAAATGAAAACCAGGAAAGATGGTAGGATTATTCCTAAAATGGAGCAGACTGTGTCCCTGGGATCTGTGGGCGAAAAGATATGGTGCTGAACGCCTTGCCACTGACCAGAGGGACAGAACTGATCTGCCCTTGGAACCAGAGTACCCCTCCTTTTTTTATCTCTCCCTCCCCACCCTGCTACTGACTCCTGGTTGACCTGCCTCTTTCATCACATAGTGTCACTCCTTTTTGGCTCTGGTAGAGGAGTGAGCAAACTTTTTCTCTGAAGGACCACAGAGTAGGCCATAGTATCTCTCTGTTGTGACCAGTTGACTCTGCTCTTGTAGCACAAAAGCAGTCAGAGACAACCTGTAAACAAATAGGCCATGGCTGTGTTCAAATCAAATTTATGACACTAAAATTTTAATTTCATGTCATGTTAACATGTCACAAAGTGTTTTCCCAACCACTGAAACATACAAAAATCACACTTAGCTTGCTGGCCACATAGACACTAGGGCAGATTTGGCAGGCGAGTGGTTTACAGACCCCTGCGGCTTTTTCCATCTGGCTGAACTTCTGCTCCACCTGGCCATGGAGAATCCTGTTTGTGTCACCTCTGGCCTTCACAATATAGCTGTAGAACCCTTTCAAGGTCCTATCTACTGATGGCTGCTTCCTAGTGGCTTCTTCAGTGACTTGGAAATGGCCAATAGAATAAACCCTTAAGGGACATTTCCTAAAATTCCTTATGTTTTGGATAAGTGTTTTAGGGTAAAGCAATTGTATATATTCTCTTTAAATCATCACAATAATAAAGTAGGGAGGACAGTTAAATCCAGTT